CCCAATCGGGAAGGCTCGGTTGGCGACGCCACGGTAGAGGCTTCTGTTCTCCCGGGTGGGGGCAGCCGCCGACCGGAGGGAGGTAGGTGCGAGCGGCCCTGGGGTTCTCCACTCAGGGGGCGCGATCGCCGGGCTGCGCGCAAGGCGTGGTGCCGTCGCCCCCTTTCCCAGGAGGAGCCGAGCGTCCCTTTCACCCGCGCTCTCTCCCCTTACTCCCTCAGCCCCCCACCCGGGATGGAGCCGAGCGCGGCGTGGAGTCCCCGCGGTGGGAGAGGTACTGCGACGCTGCCTTTCTGGGGCGTTCAGCAAACCCGTGGGGGTGTGGGGACGGTGGGGAGAGGGAGGGGGCCCACCCGCGCAGGGGCTGCCCCGGGGGGGCGATCTCTGGGCCGAGGAGCTTGGGAAGAGCGGCCACTCCCGCGTGGAAACACGGGCCGGTTTTCCGCCACCCTCGCTAGCTGGGGCTGGGCTTTCTCCCTCCAGCAAGAGCCTAAAGCTTCTTCAGGCCCGGAGGAGGCTGGGCCGGGGGGAGGCGGTGGGCGAGCTCCCTTGGCGGGTAGCACCCCTCTACGCGAGGAGGACAACGCGTCGGCGCTCTCGGGGTCAGGGACCCGAGCGCAGCGCGCAAGGCGGGCTGCGATCGGGCAGGAAAGGCGCGGCGTCCCGGCGTGGACAAGGCTAGGGGAAGAGGCCGAGTTGTGTGCGCTAGAGAGCAGGAGCCCGGCGCGCTCCGGGTCTGAAACTACCTGTAGCTGCAGCTACCTGCCCGCCCCACCTCGAAACAACAATGCTTCTCGCGCGCGCGCGCGCGCGTGCGGGCGCATGTGAGAGTGTGTGTGGTACGTGAGTGTGTGCGCGGCGTGTGCGGTGTGTGTGCAGCAGCCACTCCACACCCCGATCCGTAGTATTTTGCTGTATCCAGGTTGCGCCTGGGAGCGCGGCACCGCCCGCTTTGCGCCGGGCGCAGTTTTCCTCTTACCCCACGCGCTGCGCACTCCACCCGGCCGCACCCTCCACACCTGGGCAAGGACCTGGGCGCCCCGGCCCTGGAGCCGGCTCGGCTTCACTCACCCCTCCCCTCTCTCCTCCGCTCTCCGCAGAGAATGTGATGGACATCGGTCTGACCAACGAGAAGCCCAACCCGGAACTCTCTTACTCGGGCTCCTTCCAGCCAGCCCCGGGCAACAAGACCGTGACCTACTTGGGAAAGTTCGCCTTCGACTCCCCCTCTAACTGGTGCCAGGACAACATCATTAGCCTCATGAGCGCCGGCATCTTGGGGGTGCCCCCGGCCTCAGGGGCACTCAGCACGCAGACCTCCACGGCCAGCATGGTGCAGCCACCTCAGGGCGACGTGGAGGCCATGTATCCGGCGCTGCCCCCCTATTCTAACTGCAGTGATCTCTACTCGGAGCCTGTGTCTTTCCACGATCCCCAGGGCAACCCTGGGCTCGCCTATTCCCCCCAGGATTATCAATCGGCCAAGCCGGCCTTGGACAGCAACCTCTTCCCCATGATTCCCGACTACAACCTGTACCACCACCCCAACGACATGGGCTCTATTCCGGAGCACAAGCCCTTCCAGGGCATGGACCCCATCCGAGTGAACCCGCCCCCTATTACCCCCCTGGAGACCATCAAGGCATTCAAAGACAAGCAGATCCACCCAGGCTTCAGCAGCCTGCCCCAGCCGCCGCTCACACTCAAGCCCATCCGGCCCCGCAAGTACCCCAACCGACCCAGCAAGACCCCACTCCACGAACGGCCCCACGCCTGCCCAGCGGAGGGCTGCGACCGCCGTTTCAGCCGCTCGGACGAGCTGACCCGGCACCTGCGCATCCACACGGGCCACAAGCCCTTCCAGTGCCGGATCTGTATGCGGAGCTTCAGCCGCAGCGACCACCTTACCACTCACATCCGCACGCACACAGGCGAGAAGCCCTTTGCCTGCGAGTTCTGCGGGCGCAAGTTTGCGCGCAGCGACGAGCGCAAGCGCCATGCGAAGATCCACCTCAAGCAAAAGGAGAAGAAGGCCGAGAAGGGGGGTGCGCCTTCTGCGTCCTCAGCGCCCCCGGTGTCCCTGGCCCCTGTGGTCACCACCTGTGCCTGAGGCTCGGGGCCCCCAGATTCCTACATTTCCCCTCCAGTGTCTCCCTGCTGCCAGCCTGAAAGCAGCGGGAAAGCTAGCCACGGAGGCGCAGGGGCCGCTCCCTGGCCTCTCCATGGACGTAAGGTCCCTTGTCCCTCTTCGATGTCCCCCGTTTCCACCCTTTCACACCGGCCAACAGTTGGGGGCCAGAGCAGGAGGCGCCTTCCCCTCGCTGACCCCCACCCCCCTTTAGCCAAGGCGTCGGGGGTGGAAAGGTGGCGTCTAGCCCGCTTTGTTCAGTTCGGATCGTCTTGATCCAGGGGCCGCTGGGCCGTGCCAAGGAACTGCAGGGGACTGAAGGCGGGGCCCGACCAAGCCTCGCCTGACCTAAGCACCTCACTGGTCCCCGAACGTCTCCCTCGGTTCCCCCTCGAAGACCAGAGAGGGGGAGAGGGTAAGGAGCGCACCAAAGCGCAGAGCTTGCTGCCCGCCGCACGCACGCGCGCCTGCGTGCGGGGATGCGCGCGAGTGTGCGTGCTCGCGTGAGTGTGTGTGCGTGTGCGCGCGTGTGTGTGTGTTTGTGTGAGCGCGCGCGAGCGCGCGCACGCGTCTGTGTCAGACCCTTGAGCTGAACTGGGCTGTGTCCACCCCAAACTCTTCCCCACGTCGGCTTCTCAGGCCGCTGGGGACTGTCCCGGGCTGGGTGCCTGCACGTAGCCAGATGAGACGGTCTTCCATCTGCTCGGAAATAATGTTTCGCACAGAAATGCCTCGGATGCCACCGCGGCGGTGCGTAGAGTTTGGCCCCTCGGAACCCCACCTTTTCCGAGCGCTTGCCTGTTAGGCCTCAGAGCAGCTTGTCTGCGGGGAGAAAGGAGCAGCTATCTCTGAACCTGCCTTTTTAAAAATGGATTTCCTCAGCCCCACTTTTTAAAATCTAGGTCCTGAGCTTGCCCTCTGCCCTTCCCCCACCCTCTCCTCCCTTCTCCCCCCTAAGCCTTCTCCCATCTCTTTCAAAATCTTTTACCAGAAAGGCAGGCCTCAACCGGCCACCCCATTTCACCACATACCCATTGTTTTCTCTCACATACCCATTTCTCCTTCCCACCGTTGGTGAGAAAGCAGGCTCTTTTTTTGCCCTTGGTCACCAACAGGTAGACTTCAAGTTTATGTACATGGGGGGTGGGTACACACACACCCCACATACATATATATAACATATAAACAATATGTATTCCTAGCAAAATAAAATCTCTAAGGTACTTGGCTATCCAGTGCAGCGCACTGGAATAAAGGACTTGTAGGCATATACATCTTTAAATGGTTTATTTTTTATGAAAATTTTAACTGATGAGATTATATCTATAGATGTGTGTATTGCGTGAATATATATACATATATATCTATGTATGTATGTGTATATATACACATATACACACATACACATCTCTGTCCAAATTTTCCTCAAAAGATGGGGATTTTTGCATTAATCCGGGTTGGTTAATGAGGCATATCTCTTTCATACCCCAGTCGCACCTTCTCCCTGCCCTACCTCACCTCTTCTCAGGCACCCCCTCCTCCCCAGCCCGTCTCCACACAGGGTGACTCTTTGGAAGTATAATAGTAGGGAAGGCTGCTCTCTGACACAGCTTCCAGCACAGCCCTGACTGAATGTACTGTTCCCTGTTTGCATTATTTCTCCTGTGGTCAATAAGCTGCCCAGAGAGAAGGAACAAAGGTCTGGAGTTTACAGAATGTCTGTTTTTAAAGTCACTTTATGCATTACCCACCTTTTTTTTTTTT